CAGACTGTTGACTGGGGCACTTGTTTTGATCTAAGAATGTGTTATAGTAACATTAATATAAAAAGGTTATTAATATTTTTCCCCATTTTTTTTTTAAGATTGTTACAAGTTTAAAAGTAATCAGCTGGAAATGAGACATTGCACAGTAACATTTTATTTATTGTTTTGTTGCCATTTATGCTTTTAATATATTATAATTTCATGTGAATTAAATATCTGTGTATCAAAATATACACACAAGAGGCAAAGAATAGTGTTCAATACTGATGACAATGATTCATGACCATTTGAACTATGTTCATACCAGCTTTGTAATGCGCCACGTGTATTCCCATCTGTTGCAAGTTCCATTTTTCTGTCACCTGAGTAACTCTGATAGTGTAACTGTAAATAGAGAATTTGTGTTGTTTGGGCGAAATCATTTTTAATGTCCTCGTTGACAATAAAGACGCGTTTGCAGATCCAGGTTTGGAGTCATATCATTGTAGAACTGCAATACCCACAATGCACCACTAACTCCAACATTAAGGAAGTGTGACAGTAAAAGAAACGTCACATTTGTTGTCATCCGTCTTTAAGACCATATTCATGTCTTTTTACTAGTTTTTCGGTAGTTGCATATCTGAAGTCATGCCTGGAAAGATCCAGCCGCTCAACGAGTCTGTGGTGATCCGCAGCCTCCGACGCTTCAGAGACAGATATTTTCCAAATAGTGGCAAAATTGTCGAAAAAGATTTGTCGCCTGCTGTAGACACGGAAAAGGGGGAACCTACACCTGGAATTTTTGACAGCTTGCCGGTGAGAAATGAGAATCATTGTTTCTTTTTAAAACCTAAGCCTATGTATACATCTCATTCATCCAGGTAGGAGAATGCAGGTCGAAATTAGCTATTAGTACAATTTCGGTTAAGCTGTTCTGCGTTGCTGTGCAAGTAGCAAAAAATAAACAAGATGTTACATTTGGCTATATAAAGCGAAACAAGCATTTTGAAATGTGTAAATGGTAATTGAGTGGTGAAGAGCAACACGTTTTTTTTAATATAAAAATAGCGTTAAAGGTAAAGTGCTGATTTTGTGTTTTCCCAGTTCACGACAGGCTACTTCCTACTTCTAGGCAGTGTTGTACTTTATCAACTGCTCTTTGTTTGACAGCTTACACCGACAGATTCTGATATTTCACAAAACTGTGTGAACGGGGTGGCTGCGGCTCACGAGGTAGGGCAAGTCGTCTTCTGACCAGCAAGTCGGTGGTTCGACTCCCGGTCTCCCCACATGCCTAAGTGTCCCTGAGCAAGACACTGAACCCCAAATTGCTCCCGGTGGCTTGACTAGCGCCGTTGTGTGGTAGTCTTGTCGTCATGAATGGGTGAATGGTGTATAATCTCCCTGTAAAGCGCTTTGGCCAGTGCATAAAAGCGCTATATAAATACAGTCCATTTACCATTTTACAAAACAATCCAAGAATACACTAATATAATTTTACTTAGCCTTTTTAGACCTTTCCTATCAGAGTATTTTACTACTTTACTAAAAGATTTGACTACCCTACCATTCACCACTGATAATAGATCTTCTAGAGTTAGTAAGAGTGGTAGTTTCCACCCTGTTTCTATGTATTCCCTAGTTTTTGACACCTGAACCCTCTTTTGCAACTGTTATTGCTCATCTGTCATAGATATTTCAGGTAATTCTTCAGATTAGACAGTGCACATGCACAGACTCAATAAAACAGCATTCAGCTTGTCAAATGGGAAGTGAGCAGAACATGACATCACTTGTGAATGTCCTTGACCTATAGTAACAAAAGTCATAAATATTGTATGTCATCCCTCCTGAAGGTGGATGTACAGTTCCTGATCATGAACTTTCTTTCACCTGCGGACATCTGTCGTCTGGGAGCCACCAGTCGGTATTGGAGGGCCCTGGTTAGAGATCCATTACTGTGGAGATATTTCCTGCTCAGAGACATGCCATACTGGCCCTCCATTGATCACATGAGCATGCCACAGCTGGAGTTGCTGGATGCACCACTAATTAATGAAGATGAGAGCCTGGATGATAGAAAAGAAGGCAAAGGGATTGAATTGAAATTTGACTACATGTCAGAGTGGGTATCATTTTCTGCTCTCCTGTATTAAGGTCAGATGGTAACAGTCAGACAGAAAGGTTTTTCACCACTGTTTTGGTCTCAACAGATACCTGAAAGGCTGCCCATCCTGCAGACAACAATGGCTTCCTTCACGGCCAGCATATGAAGTGGTGACCTCATTTCTTCAGTCTCTGGTGCCCTCATCTGAGCCACGTTATGCCATGTTTGGTCCTGGCATGGAGTATCTGGATGTCTCCTTAGTCACAAGGCTCATGCATGCACCTGATGTGCTTCCTGTGTCAGGCACTCCACAGAGACAGATTAACAGTAAGTTCGTGTTCCTGCTAAGTGCAGATAATGAAGGATAAACTTCCGCTGGTCTACTCTCATCTTAAATAACACAATGACAAAAATGAATAAACCAACTAAACCAGCAATGCATAAACCAATTTTAAAATTGAGCTGGTTCTTAAACTAAAAGGGACTGTAAGTGGAATCAGATTGCTGTATACCCAAACTATAATACTAATGTAATACAATATGGAATTAATGCATTTCAATCCCACATACCCTCAGTCAGGACACAAATGACTGGAAAACATCCTATTCCTAATTTTACTTGTTGTAGTTTTATCTTCCCACCATGCGGTGGCAGTATTGGTTCATTATAGATATCGACCTTGTTACTATCAGCCATGATACCCAAGAAAGTAAATAAAATTATATCAACTTTTGATTTTATCCTAGGTATCGGCTCAGGGATCAGTTATATGTTCAACAACCAACACAAATTTAATATCCTGACTCTATATTCAACCAATCGGTAAGCATGTTGAATTTGATGTTACTATGCAAGTTGCATTTGTTAATGATCTTTTAATGAATATTATTGTGAATATTTTAATGCCAGACTTTGTGTGTCTGCAGGGCAGAGAGAGAAAGAGCCAGAGTGGAGCACCAGAGCGTCAGTAATAAACTTTTTACCTTTGAAGGAACAGATGACTCAGGCTGCCCAATCTATAGCCCTGCTCCTCATGTCCAGCAAGTGTGCCAGGTGGTGGATGGTTTCATCTATGTAGCCAATGCAGAGTTTGGGAGAGGTGAGAGAAGGCAATTCTATTTGCGGCTTCTGCTCCTCTGCTACTACCATGTGACATCATGTATGTTGTTGTTGAATGATCAGAACAGGACATTTGCATGAACAACCCTATCTCAAGTCCTCTGACTCAAATGACAACATACATCAGTTGTCCCGACCTTAGAATATGACCCGTAGGATCCTTCCAGGAGCATGCTTACCAGACATTTGTCATTATGATAACAATCATATGCTCCTTGTGACTGTTCCTCTGGTAAGTGTGCCAGACCTTTCTTGTCATGGAAAAAAATCATAAACCCAGGGTTATTATTACGGAACTGTCACAGTTTTATTATATTTATACACAAAAACTACTTGGTTAGGTTTAGGAAAAGATTGTGATTTAGGTTAAAATAACCTTCGTCATTAGGGTTATAATAATACACATGCCATTAAAGTTATGTAATGGTCATGTATAAAAAAACACACTTCACACAGGGATTGAATATACACTTCTAAGGGGAGGTCTTATGTTTTCTGGAGCCATCTATCCACCCCAACTTCCTCCTAAAGTGGGCTATGTTGTTCTATATGCTACATCACCAAACGTTTTCCTTTGCTTGTGTCATAATTGCTGTGGTCGCTAGATGTCATCCAACTATAAATTGTTATTGTTGTTTTGGTCATATAAACCTGCTGCCACAAATGACATATGGACTCCTTTTTATTTATTTATTTTTTAACAGGAGAACAGTCTCCTCAAATACATGGGGGTGAATCCGAGGTGGCTCAGATTCGAGCTGTGCTGGGTTTTGCTGGGGGTTCCACACCCAGGCCTCTGCTGGTGCTCTCATGTGTTTCCAGAGAAGACCCAACCAATCATCACAGTAGAGACAGAAACAGGAACCGGTGTCGGACTTCCTGTGTTGACATGGCAAAGAGACTCTGCCTACCCCAACTGTCTAACCCCTGGATGGTAACTGCCTGATATTTGATCAGCTGCAAGGCTTTCACTGTATTTATATCCATCTATTTTTTGTTTGTGGAGACTTTCAACCTGTGTTTCTCTTTCACAATCAGGTGCAAGATACAGTAGCAGAATCCCTCTCAGGTCTTCTGGATGGCATTTCTTGGTTGCTGAGATGTTCTGGAGTCAAACTGTAAATCCTGCTGTTGCCAAATTAATTAAAACTACAGACCTCACTGCTGTGTCATCTCGACACCCAGACACACTATAACATCTCCTGGCTAATGTGTACTATGTGCACTCTTTGCCTTGCGACTGGAACACTGCCTGTGGAATTTAATGAATTGGATGATCAGTAGAAGAGATGGGTTGCTATTATTCATTTGAGAAACCAGACAGACTCCTGAACTTAATTTCTTTTTTCCATCAGTAATGTGTTCCAGCAACCTTCCTGCATCCATCCATTTTCTTCTGCTCATCCAAGATTGGGTCGCTGTGGCAACAGGTTCAGCATGGTAGTCCAGACGTCCTATATAATCTCTCCAGTGTGTTCTCGGTCTACCCTGGTGCCTCCTACTAGTTGGATGTGCCCAGAAAACCTCCAAAGGGAGGCGCCCTGGAGGCATCCTGATAAGATACCCAAATGAAAATTACATACAGTAATAGATTCTGTAATGTTAAAATGGAAATACAAACCCACTTTAAGACATTCTTAGTCGTTTTAGATTCACACTTATTGAATATAATATGTTCATGTTCAATTTTGTGCATTAATTTTCTAAAACTGAATGCCAGTTAACTGAGGTAGTGAAAGTATTACTTCTTTAATATATTAAAGTTGTTTGTCCACCAAAAATGACCACCTCTTTCATATTCAGGGTCCCTGGTGGCAGTGTTCACATGACTTTATGGCAGCAATCATTTTTATAAGCTTGTAAGGCATGACAAGATAATGTGCTTCACTGATGCTCTTTTGTTCTAGTCTCCTAGGTAACCACAAATCATTGGCAAAAATACGGTCTCCCTCACTGGCTGTTCCATAAAATGGTTCCTTAGTCTCAACAGTCATCTTTGTAGACGTACAGATTTAGAATAGGACCATGATTGATGCAATTTAGGTACATTTAGCTGAATACTAGCGAATCAAGATTGATTTTTTTTTTTTTAAGGAAATGATGGAGGAGACAGCCTGTGTGTGTGTGTGTGTGTGTTTGCTTTGTGTATATCTGTGTTATGTGTTTTTGTGAGAGAAAGAGACCAACCGACAGAAACTTAACATTTATCTGTTTTTTGTAAACAGGATATCTATCTCTTTGGTCCTCACTCACAGTTGTTTACCCACATCATGTGTTTGTTTGTGTGTATGTACGCATGTGTATATACGCATGGATGCTCATGCTACATAAAGTATAGAAATCATAGGAACCTGTTTTTAGGTATGCAGGGAATAATATTGTCTAATCCATTGCTGTTGTGATCCTGATCGAGCTGATGGTACAGTAGATAATTACCCCGCAACAAGGACTGACATAAATGTGCAAGGTTGTGGTTCCAGTCTCAATGAGTGAAGGAGTGAATGAACTGTTGTCTGGAAATGAATTGCTTTTATGTGACTGCAGACTAAAGAAAGTAAACTGCGTATTATGACGTTACTGTGACTTTACAGTCAGGATTTGTTGGAACCACTGCTGGAACTTGCTGGGATAAGATATTTTCAAGGTCTGTTTATTTAGATAGCAGAATGTGGAACATTAATACACGTTCCACATAATGGTGGCCGGGATTGGGAGGGGGAGGTTCCTGGGTCATGTTTTGGAAGGGTGAATGAGTACCAGACTTCCAGCTGCCTCTTGTTTTCCACAGTCAAACAGGGCCTCTGGAATATGATGTCATGAACAAGAAACCCCTTTTCGGTGACCTGAGACAGTTTATTAACTCAAACAAAATCTGCAGCATTGTAAGGAAAGTTGAAACATACCATGCATGTAAAATGTGCATACAGTATTTTGAGGTAAAAAGGTCTGAACTCTCCAAACAGACTAAAAGCTTTTCTTCCGTGCTCATCAGACATTAACATAAAAATTGAATGTACTGTCTAAAATACCAGAATAGTTCATGTCTGTGGTGTAGACGTGCATTAATTTTACACAGTCTGATAAAAAAAAACAACAAAAAAAAAAACAAGTGAAAATGGGGCAATGTGGCCGGTACAGTATCCTCCTCTATGGCACTCTGTTTGTTGCCTGCAGCCTTTCTGTCGTTATTCCAGCTTTTCTACCCGGTGTTTTCAAAATCAGGGCCATAAATTAGCCCCTCCTACACCCAGTGAAGGTTAAAAGAAATGTTTTTCAAACTGCAAGTAGTCATTTCAAACATCCAGCCATAAAGGAGCACTCATCTGCTAAAAGTCCAAAACAGTGCCGGACCAAAGAGGGTGTGTTCTTTTGCAAAGAGAGAGGGATATTATTCTGTATTATTCAGTCTTAAATAGTTTATTTGTCATTATATCCTGTTTTTTTTATCTTGTTTTTGTTTTCTTTTAATTCACTTTTATTGATTTTTAATATTTTATATTTAAAATGTTTTTCTTTATTATTCACCTTTTACCTGATTGCCTTTTATTCTGCCTTTTGTTCTGTAAAGCACTTTGACTTGCATGGATCTGTAGGAAATGTGCTGTATAAATTGACTGATTGAGAGAGAGAGAATTGTTGATGCATCCTGAGGCAATAGACGACAAACACAATCAATGGTGGCTGCTTACTTAGGTAGCATGAAGAATGTTTTGGCAGATGTTTTTTTTATATACTGTATACTCAGAGGTTATTCCTGCTCAGTAAAATAGATGTTTTATTGCTGTTGGACATATTTCATTTTATTTCAGCAGTAGCCTTGTTACTGTTGGTTTACATCAGAGGTTATGAGCAGAGTGGAGCAGTGAGAATTTCCGCTCCTCGCTCACAGAGCTGTTCGCCCACTCTGCTCCTCCACCCAAAGCCACACCAGGCCGCTTCGCTCATTATCGCTCAGCGCTCAACTCAGATTGCATCCGTCTCCACTCAGATGTCACCCACTCACTCCAAAAACCAAATGGAAATTATTTATTTCAAATTACACTTAGGCCTATGTAACAAGGAATCTAACACAAAAAGTCATATGTAAAATTTGACGAATCGATGGGGCTTATTAAATAAAAATATAAAGTATGACCCTCTATATGACCTTTTAGTTTCCTTTTTAAAGTACTTTAGGAAGTCCATTATTGAGCTCACAATGGCTGATTTTTGACTGAAAAGTGTTAGATGACTGTACAAGACACAGATGCATTCTGGGGTGGGCTTGTAGCATTTGTACAATAAGACAACCACATTTACTAGGAAGGAAAATAGAAGGGCAAATAGTTCTTTCACAAAAATTTTCAATTAAATCAAATATGCTTTCTTTTAACTATTTATTACAGTTTTTTTGCACCTACATAAAGCATAGGAGGAGCGGATAGGTAAAAAATAATACTTGTACAATGGAAATCTATAATTCTTTGATCACTGTCACTGTTGCATTACAACAATATTAAGTTTTTGTTGAACTGTGCTTTCCAAGGCTGTAGTTAGAGTTAGTGTAGAATCTATATCGAATGCATTCATGTCATTCATGATTAACAACCACAAATTTTTTAATGAAAACAATTAATCCACTAATTTCTTAATGAAAAGATATTAGAGTATATACAACAGGGAAACTGAACATACTGTATATGAAGTTAAATAGCATCTAACTCCTATTAATCTGAATAAGATGTATTGCTGCATGAATAATTGTTTGATTTGGAAAAAATGAATTTGGCTCTAAACCGTGCTCAGAGGGTAACACAGCAACAATCACCCTCTCTGTCTTCTCTGTCCCTTTTCTTTACTTATATTTAGTTCAACTCTTTAAGCTCTCTCCTCCTTTCATTAAAGTTAAGTCCCTGATTTGTATTCCATGATAACAGTCAAGATTAAAGTAGGCACTTAAAAAAAAACATAATTTACATGATGCTTTCACTGATTAGGCTAAGCGTCGCTCTTAATTGTGTTGTTTTGCACATGATGGAGCTCTCATGCTGATACTCTGTGGATCTTACTCATCCCTCACCATCTCACCAATTCAATTCAATTTCCTTCTCACTTCACAGCATCCAACCCACCTACCTCCTGCTGTCTTATATATGGCAGGTTAGGGACTCGTAATGCTGGATTAGGGTTCAGAAGTGCTAATAGAGAATTATTTGTGATTTGCTTTAAGCCTATCAACAGCTCTCTAATAAAGAAGATAGAGAACCAGAAGCACAGTGACCCGTCCTATTGCTGTTACTGTTGTTTTTATTTAAATGCTTTACAGGTGACATAAGGGGAATAACACAAAGAGCGCTCTTTGATTTAGTGGAAAATAAAAACATTCAGCCAAAGTCAGATCTTACATGGCTATTGAAAGACATGCTATTGCAGAAAAAACAGAACCACCAATGATGTTATTTTGTAATTAATGTCTCAGATATGAAAATACGATGATCTCTGAAATTACTATGATCCTTACAAAATTGCTTTTATAATAAAAACTTGATGTGCCTTATTCCTCTGTGACACAGACTTCCATTGTAGCCCTGTATTATTGTGTACATCACATTCAGTGTTGGAGCAGGTAAAGGCAGAGCTCATTTTAACTTCCTTAAATGCTTATAATTTGAAAGTAAAGTACAGATACCTCAAACTTGTACAGTACTTGACTAAATGTACTTAGTTACTTTCCACCTTTGATAATCAGTCTTTTCAAGCTGAGGAAGTTTTTGCTTTTAAGACAACATATTAAGAGGAAAGAGCATAGTTTTGATGGCTGCTGTAACTACCTTCAAACACATCTCTGAGGGTGGATCTGAAGGGGCCAGCTTGGGGGAAATCCTCCAGTGCCGGCACAGTGGCACCAGTTTGCAGGCCATTGTTTTCTGCATTGTTCAATATAACATAAGATAACTCAGAACAGACAATCACGGGAATGAGTATTCCATGACAAAGGAAATAGTTCATGAGATGACCCCAATCTTCTCCAATCAAAGATCTCTGTCCTATAACTGACAGAATATGTGGACATGTTCGGGGTCATATTGAAACGGTTCGCTCATTTTTATTTTCTCTGTGCCTCAGGTCTAATGAAAGTTCATCAAATTCACATGGTCCTAATACCACATGAATTAGCTTTTTATGTAAACATAGAATAAAGCAAAGAAAGTCATTGTGCATATTGAAGGATAGTGAATTACAAGTTATAAATTGCAGTATCTGTATGTGAGAACAGCCTCGTGGCTTATCAGGCATTTTTATGTGCATGTCAGCCAGAGGACTTGGAAAAGCTCAGCAATAACTTGTGGACCTTGTAAACAAGAAGGGGACAGGCTTATGTAAATACTAGGACAGCCCTGCTCAATACAGACAGACCAGTTCAAATTCTTTACCATCACATTACAAATTATGTCAGCACAAATATGACTGCATTGGCAGGAAAATAAAAGGTGCGGGGCCAAGAAAATGCAAACACCCAGAGCCCACCCTCCCCTCATGTGTGCCTCTGTCAGTACACGTGTCAGCCTGTTTATCCCTCAGCTTTCTATTTCCAACTGACTGTGGTGGTCTATTTCAGTTTAGCTGGATGTTTTTTAGTACTGATGTGAACTGTGGTGTAATAGAGACGTGCTAAATGTGTTTGTTAGTTATTTTATTGATTTAAATTCATAATGTGTAGCAGTACACTGTGACATGTAAAGTGAGGCAAGGTACAGCTGGGTGCAGCCTTGCAAAGTTTTGCTTCTGTTGTTTTAGCTTTAATAATGCAGTAGAATTTATGTGACACTGCATGTTAGCACTGGGATAAGTGTCCTCAAACCCTTAAAATAAAACCCATGACAAGGTCCTAGCAAGCAGGTTTAAATGCAGATAAACCTGCAAGCAAGCAGGAGCAGCAGATGGGTGCATGCATGTTTTTCTCTCACGTGTGGGGGCTAGACTCTGGGGTCAGGGTTGTATATCTATTGACAGCTGTAATTCTGGGCGAGCCTCTCGTGGCTTCATTTCTCAAGTGGCCCCTCCACGTGATGCCCACACAGACAGTCGTTTTTCAGACAGATGCAGTCATTCATGCTGCTTGTAGTTCTTAATAATAAATGGCATTTGCTAATCGAAACAGGCTACATTTGGACCTTTTGTAGTATTTTGAAATATACTTAGTAGGCAGGCTATGTAGGTAGTTAGAGCACAGTAGTGTAAAGTTGGAATATTTAACTTTATAGCCTGTAGGAAAAACATGGAAAGTGAGGGCTGTTTGGTCTCAAATGCAGTAAACGATGGAATTTGAAAAAAGTGTATTACCAAAATTACACATCTTTAATGAAGACCCTTATTAGGGTCTCCGTCAAGTCTGGACAGACAACTATGATGCTTTTCTGTTGGTCAGAACATCAAAGATACCAGTAAGCAATTGAATTCATTTGTTTAAATTTAGAATGTTCTAACAATGTGGTCTCTATGGCCTGATTATGTAATAGCCTAAGAAAATGTTTGCCACTTAGTCAAAGCTTTTGCCTTAATCAGACTTTTTTAAAATACATGTTTGTATCTTTTATTAAATTT